GTTTGCCGACCCCTGGCCTAGGCTGATCTGACTTCAAATCTCTGAGCTAGAGTGCCCCCCAAAATGAGTACTCCCAACAAGGTGGGGGATGGAAGTGGGGGTGAGGCAGAAGGTGGGGGACAGTATCAGAGGGTTCCAGGCCTGAGAGCCGAGGTCCTGAGGTCAAGATGGCCCTCTGCCTTTGATGAGAGCAGGTCTAGGTCTTCTGGAGGGAGGACTCGGAGGAACAGGAGTCAGGGTGCCCCTGGCAGGGCCTGGAGAGCCTGGGGCGAGGCACCATCTCTCTGGAGAAAATGGAGTTTGCCCTCGAAGGCCAGTGCCTGCGGATGAACCCTTGCTAGTGTGTGCGCTCCCTCTGGGGGGCCCTCCCACCTTCCAGTCCAGCTCAGCTCCTGCTCCAGTGCTGGCTTCCCTCCGAGCTGCTGCTGGAGCTCATAGCCTGACTCTGCCTCACACGGGCCTGTGAGCTTGGCCAGGTTCCTGAAGCACTCTGCAAGGCCTCGGAGAATTAAATGAGCTACCAGAACAAGGCCCGGCCGAGTGGGCATGACGTCAGCGCTGTCTCCCAGCGTCCTGTGCGCCAGGAGATGGACATCTCACAACCACCCCACGAGCGGGCTCTCGCCTCACGTTAGCAGCGCTCGGCTGGGGAGGCTGCAGAGCTGGCTTCGACTCCCGTCACCGAATCTGAGCCCTCCATCCTCCCCCTCCCCCTGCATCTCTGTTCCAACTGCACCGAAGCCCCCCAAGGGCAGGTGATAGCCCTCTTGGCTGCCTCTCTTCACGGTCGTCTGGCCACTGCTGGGCACACAGTAGGTGCTTCTTAGACATCCACACACTGGCTTCAGTTGAACAAGGCCATTGTGAAGATGGAGTGGGGGGCAGGGGATTCCTTTGAATTCTCCACAGGGAAGGCTTTGTTCTCTGCCCATCTCCCACCCAGACAGAGAAGCAGGCTTCGTCTCTCTCTGGCCTCCTTTAGGGAGATTTTTAGGGAAGGGAAGGGGAGGAGAGGGGAGGGGAGGGGAGGGGACAGATCAGTGGGAGTCTGGCTTCTAAGGGAGCTTGACAGACAGAAGAGGCACCGGCTCCCAGTTAGCAGAAAGGTTGGGTGACTTCTTTCTTGGTCGTGGATCCCTGCTCCCTTGTCATCGACCGAGGAACTGAGCGCTGGGAAGCAGGGTGCTGTTCACGCTGAAAGGCGTCAGGCAGAAAGGAATGGCCTCTGGCGGCCGCGGAGGGTCCTTGCACTGCGGGGTGTCACTGGGAGGCCTGACGACAGCACAGGCCTCTTCGGGAGGGACCGTCGTCTGGGGCCCCAGCGTGACCCGGTCCGACCTGTACGTCCAGCTGTCTGCGGGCCGCTCTGCGGACTCGGCCTTCCCAAACCGAACGCATCGGCCACAGTCTCCCCGAAGCCCTCCCTCCCCTGGCCAGCCTGTGCCGCCACCACGGGGGCCACAGCGCCTGGAGCCCCCTTGACGACTGTGGCCCCTCGCCATCCATGGCTGCAACCTATTCCAACCAGCGAAACATGCTGACATGTGTTCCCGTCCTTCCCGTCCACCCCACTGCCATCTCCCCTGAGTAGGTTTTGCAACGGCCCCTAACAGCCTTCCCGCCTCCTTCCCTCCACTCAGTAACCTGAGTGCTCCTCCAACATGGTCACCTGACCACATCGCGGCCGCTTCAAACCTGGTTGTAAGTCCCACCCACCACCCACCACCGCAGCCTGGTTCACTGGCGCTGGGGACGGGAGGAGATTCGGAAAGACGCCCACCCCAGCCGAGACCCTACAGGGCCGGACCTATGGGGCGAAGTCCCAGCTCCTCCACACAGTGCCCTGATGCAGCGACCTGCAATCTGTGGGCGCACATGTCACCCTCACGAGGCCCCTAGGGTCTGGCCCCAGCCCTTCCCTCTGCCCACCCGGTTTGAGCCCACTGGGCCATCGGAGTCTCTCTGGCCCTGCTTGCTGGCTCAGCCTCGTGGCTTCATTCACGCAGGGGCTGCCTCTGGGTGCGGGCGGTGTCTCAGTGTCATCTCCCCAGAGCCAGAGCAGCTCCTGGCTCCTGGGAGCCACTCCCTGACCCCTGGTACAGGAGGGCAGACCCCAGATGGGCGCTGGAGGCCCTGGGGACTTGGGGTGTGAAGAGAGAGAAAAGAATAAGGCTTAGAACTCCAGCCCAGGGGTTGGGAGGTTCCTGGCCTGACCGCTAGGGGCCGCTGGTCCCCCTCATGGAACCTGAGGGCGGGCGAGGCCGGTACATGGGTGGGGAGTGCACGAAACCTCAGGATAAACAGGGCGTCTCTTCAGGGCCACTTCGCAGGAAGATCTGAGAACAAAACGTTGCTTTAATATTAAAACAGTTATAATTAGAGAGTGGAAATGTGGAATCGTGGCTAATTTAAAGACAACACAGAAGGCTTCAAAGAAAGGTGCTTGTGGCCTGATCTCGGGGTGACGCCCAGATCCCCAGGAGTCCATGCCTGCTCTTCAGCTGGGAGGGTTACTTTGGAGTAAAAGCTTGAGATGCACTCAGTTCTCAAACTTCCACACCCTCCTGGGACAGATGGGGAAACTGAGGCACGGGGCAGCATTGGAGCTGCGACTGCGCCCTCATCTCAACACTGAGGCTGCTTCCCAAGACGCTGAGCGCCGTGCCACCACCCGGCTTTCCTGCCTGAGGAGGATTTGGGGTCGTCCTGGGCTTCGCTCCCTGACTCGCACTTGCCACCTGCACAGCCTGCTGGCCCTCCACCTGAAGGTCCCTCCTGCGCCCCAAATCCAGCTCTTCCTTCTGTATCTTCCTGGGGGCCCGACCCCTCCCTCTCTCCTTCCCCCACAGCCATGCCCGGGGCCCAAGATCTGTGGTCACTTCTTCTTTTATATATATATATATATTTTATTGATTTTTTTACAGAGAGGAAGGGAGAGAGATAGAGAGTTAGAAACATCGATGAGAGAGAAACATCGATCAGCCGCCTCCTGCACATCTCCTACTGGGGATGTGCCCGCAACCCAGGTACATGCCCTTGACCGGAATCGAACCTGGGACCTTTCAGTCCGCAGGCCGACCCTCTATCCACTGAGCCAAACCGGTTTCGGCCTGTGGTCACTTCTTGATGGCGCTCTTTTGCCATAGCTCATTACCTGGTCCAACACCCAGAAGCCCTCCGACCAGTCACCTGGCCTGGGGGTGGGGGTGGTAAGTAGAAGTAATAAAACGTAACAGCAGCCTTCACGTCCACAGTACCCACTGCATTCCAGACCCTGTCGTGAGCACCCGCCTTGCATGGACCCATTAGTCCCTACATCTCTCCATGAGGTAGCTGCCTTTTATTCCCATTTTGCAGATGAGGAAACATCTGTAGACACCCCCCTGGGTGTCCTTCCTCCTCCCTCGTACTCACCTTCACCAGGCCCCGGCATCCCAGAGCCTGCTGTGACCTCGTCCCCCATCAGCTCAGAGGTCATCAGTCCCTGCTCGCTGCTGGGTGGTGTTCCGGCATTTCAGTTGGCATTGGAGGTTCTCTCCCAGCCCGCCCCCTTTCCTCTCTTCCACCCTGTGGCTCCCCAGTCCTACACTCCTTTCCCCCCAATATCTCCTGACCGGGATGCCTCCCTCCACCTCTCCACGCCCAGGTCCTTCCTGTCCCTCCACGTCTTCCCGCGGTGCCTCCTGCTCGGGGAATGGTCCTTCCTTCGAACAGCGCCTTCACGGTTCCGACTCCCCGGTCTTGGTGGCCCTCGTCACCTCTCTGAGGACATAGCTTCTTTCTCCAACTGGAGTAAAGATTCTAGAGGAGAGGAACTGGCACCCCATGCCACCCCACCTGGCAAACATCTGTGAAGGAATGTGTTGGCATTTCTTACCCAGGGGCCTGAGGCAGGAACCTGGCTCCTAATTCTGTCACTACCCAGACCAGCTCCGTGCCCTTTGGCAAAGCACTTGCTGTCTCTGTGCCTGAGTTTCCTTGTCTCCAAGCTTACACGTGAAGAGCAGTTCAGGAGGTTCTAAGTGGCTCTCAGCATCCTCCAGGCAGAAGAGACCCTCAGGAACAAGGACAGGGGAGGGGGGAGAGGGAAGGACAGCAGGTGGGGAGGTCGTCTTGCTTTGCTCAGTCGGAGGTTAGGGAAGGGCTGGGCCTAGACTTGCACAGAAAAAACACAAAAGAGCCGGCGAGGCTCAGGTTAGGTACCAAGGTGCGCAGGCGATGCCCCCGGAGGCTGCCAGGCCAGGTGCCCCAGCAGCCAGGGCCTCCGCCTCGCACCGCTGGCATCTCACACTCAGGACTTTGCCGTGGGGAGCTGTCCCGCAGGGCGCAGGGTGTTTGGCAGCCTCCTTTGTCTCTGCCTACTCCCCTAGTCGCAACCACAAATATTTCCAGACGTTGCCAGATCTCTCCAAGGGTGGGGTGGACCCCCAGTTAAGACCATCGAGTTAACCCACCAAGAAATGTTTGTTTAGCACCTACTGTATGCCTAGCTAGGGCTGAGGTATCTTCTCTGATGACGGGTCGGGTTTGGAATGAAAGCTTACACGCGAAGAACGGTTAAGGAGGTTCTAAGTGCAGTGTGAGGGCGGTGGTGGGGGTGGGGGAGCTCACAGGCCCCAGGGAGCCCTAAGGCTGGGTCTCCAGGGAGGCGCAGGGAGGGCTGTGGGGGGCGGGTTCCCGCTGAGAGAACAGCCTGCACGGGCTCAGGGCAGGCATGGGCAGGGCCCCTTTGCAACATCGAGCTCCTCTGGCTGCATAGGGTGCAGGGTGTGTTGGGAAGTAGTGGGAAAGGAGGTTAAGTAAATATTATTCTTGGTGTGTTTGCTTATGGGACACTATGTCCAATCGGGGAGCCTGGTTGCGTAAGTCTAGATGCCAGGCTCTCTCAATCTAAATGCCTGGGGCCTCCTCCCGGGATGCCTGATCTTCTCAGCCTTTTCTGCTTCCGGGGTCTGGGCCACACCCTGGCTCTCCCTGTCCCCCCCTCAACCCCGCCCCCCCCCCCACCTGGAAGCCCCAGGGGTCCAGTCTGTCAGTTTGGAAGCCTCTTTCTTACCTGGTAACTGTTTTTTCCTGCAGGTGGTAAACCCCAAAAAGAAAATGAAGAAAAAGAAATATGTGAATTCTGGCACCGTGAGTAGCCAGGCCTCCCCTGTGCCGCTGGGGAGACACTGAGCCCGGAGCGGGGTCTGGTGGCGGGAGTCCCGGGTGTTTGTGTGCTCCTGCGGTGTGGGAACTAGACCTGGAGAGTGGGGGGTGGAGAGGGGTGGGGCCCCGGAGCCACCGCCCAGGGGGAAGGCGTGCTTAAGGCTGTAGCACAGCAGGCTCTGTGATTCAGACTGAGAAAGCCCAGAGAGAAACTCCCATGGGACTTCCTGCGGGCGGGAAGAGGAAAGGAGGCGCAGTGATTGGGCCCTGACTCCGGGAAATTCCCAATTGAGGTGCTTTTCGCAGGTTGTTTCCTTGGGAGGCAGTGTTGTCATCCCCTGTCATGACGGAGGAAACCAAGGCTGCAGGCAGGGAAGTGACTCAGCGAAGGTCACGGGCTGGAGAGGGGGGTGGCGGTCAGCACCCAGGTTACATTCAGAGCCTGCGGCTGCTACGGGCCGGGCGCTGCTTGCCTGCGACCGTCCTGGGGTCACGCTGGCCCAGCGGCTTCTGGCCCGGCTGATCTTCATGCATTTATCAACAAATGGAAGTCCTGGCCCTACTGGCATTTGTATTCTAGTGGGAGGAAACAGAAACAAGTAAATATACATATGTGTATATGCCTGTGTGTGTCAGGTGGTTATGAGTGCTGTGGGGAAAAGCAAAGTGAAGGGATAGGGATGCCAGCGACAAAACTACTATTTAATATAAAGTAGTCAAGGAAAGCTTCTCTCAGGTGACATTTAAGCTGAGATTCAAAGGAGGTGAGGAAGCAAGTATTGAGGATTTGGGGGAAAGAGAATTCTAGTAGGAATCAGCATGCGCAAAGGCCCTGGGGTAGAGCCCACAATGCATTTACAGAATAAACCAGTATCTTTGCAGGGCAAACATGCCCAAGTTCTACCCTTCATGGCCTTCCCCACTCCAGAGGTCCATACATCAGCGAATGCAGCGAAACTTAGTCATTTGAGTCAGGCAGACTGCAACCCTAAACCCAGAAGAGGCCCTAGTCAGGGGTTCTGGGGGACATCCGAGGACCCTCATTTTCTCCATCTGTAAAATGGGGATGATAAGTCATCCGTACTCTGTTTATTGCACAGCGTGGCAATGACAGACACAGGGGAGATGCAGGCCTAAAAACGGCACAGTGGTTTGCTTATCCACAGGGGGCGACCCCCGGCTTCTCTGATTGTAACTTTCACAGACGGGCGTGGAGTAATACAGGGTGGGGCAAAAGTAGGTTTACAATTGTTCGTTTGGAAAACAATACAATAAGTAATCAATAAACAGTACAAGAATCAACTGTTTCTCACGCTCTCGACTGTAAACCTGCTTCTGCCCCACCCTGAATTTCCTTTGCCCAAAGCCGCAGGCTTTCTCAGTGGGGTGCTGTCGGTGTTTTCGGCGGGACCATTCTTGGTCTCACAGGACTTCCCCTACATTGTGGGGTGCACCCCAGGCCTCAGCCCATAGCTGCCGACGGAGCCCCAGTCATTGCGAGGCCCCCAGAATTATCCCACGTTCCCCGGTGCCTCTCTGGGAGGCAGCTGAGAAATATTGGGTGTACAGTGTTAAAAGGTTTGACAACCACTGACCTCGTCCAGCTTTCTTACTTAGAGATAAAGAAACTGAGGCTCAGAGAGGGGACGCGCTGTCTTAGGTCACACGGTGAGTGAGGGCAGCACAGGCTGGGCCCAGGTCTCCTGACTTCCCTTTGCTGCAGCATTTCCCAGTCTCCATCTTAAAAAGAACCACCCCGTCTGCTTCTAAAATGCAGATGCTCAGGCAAGTTCCCTGGGCTCCAGGCTGGGCCCAGCCGTCTGTGCTTAGTGCTTCTCAGACCTTACTTACCACGAGCAGAATCTCCCGGGATCTTGTTAAAATGCCAAGAAGCTGCATTTCTGCCATATAGATAGATAGATAGAATTGGTTTCAGGGAGGAATGGAGAGGGAGAGAGAGATAGAAACATCAATGATGAGAGAGAATCATTGATCAGTTGCCTCCTGCATGCCCTCTACTGGGGATCAAGCCTGTAACCCAGGCATATGTGCCCTTGACCGGAATCGAACCTGGGACCCTTCAGTCCACAGGCCGACACTCTATCCACTGAGTCAAACTAGCTAGGGCCATTTCTGCATTTTTTACTAGCAACTCGGTGATTCTGACCATGCTGGTCCAGGGACCACACTTTGAGTAGCAAGTCTCTGGGTGAATCCATGGGCAGGCAAGTTAGGGAATTACTTCATCCCTGGGCCCGGATGTTCAGCTCTGGCTGCAGGTTAGACTCTTGTGAGGAGCTAAGCAGCGGTTCTCAACCTGTGGGTCGCGCCCCCTTTGGCGGTCGAACGACCCTTTCACAGGGGTCGCCTAAGGCCATCCTGCATATCAGATATTTACATTACGATTCATAACAGTACCAACATTACAGGTATGAAGTAGCAACGAAAATAATTTTATGGTTGGGTCACAACATGAGGAACTGTATTTAAAGGGCCAGAAGGTTGAGAACCACTGAGCTAAAGTAAGATCCAGGGCCAGAGCCCTGCCCCAGAAACCCTGATGCCATTGGTGTGAGGGCCTCCCTGGGCTGCAAGATGTTTTAAAAGCTCCCCAAGGGGTCTCCTAATTGTCAGCATAGAGGCCACTGCCATAGTCCATTCCTCGTGAAAGGAGGCTTTGCCCAGGTGCCTCAGGCTGTAATCACCGTGGGTGGGGGTCTCCGAGGCCCAGGTCAGCACTCCCAGACCCTCTCATTTTGGGGGCGAATGGTCATCAGCTTTGTCAAGCAGAGGCCCTACGGGCCCACCTAGTGAGTCGATGAAGATGGCTGAAGCTACAGGAGCAGGGAGCTCCCCAAATCCTAGAGCAGAGGATGCAGGGAAATGGCCCCTCCCCCACCTGCCTCATTTAATGGGTTTCAGCTGCCAGGCTTTCACTGGTCTCCCAGATCCCAAGTCATCATCATGACCCGCTGCCAGTGGCTGCCTGTCTCGGCGAAGCTGATGCCAAAGCCGCCAGAGGGCGTAGATCAAGAGGCCTCTGCTTGGGAGAGTGGGTCCTGGGTGGCCAGTCCTCCCTCCCCCCGGGGAGGGACAGGCTGTTTACGAGGGTCTCAGGTCTGAGGGTAGAGATGGAGAGACGCCAGAGGGAGGGGACAGGTAAGGCTGCAGATAAGTGTGGACCAGAGAGGCACGTTTGAGGATGACTAGTCCCGGGCTATGGAAGCGTGGGGCCGGCCAGCCTGGCGGGTGTTAGGACTGTGTCAGGAAGACCCTTGCCCTCCACGCTCCGCTCCACACGGGGTCTGCAGTTTGGCACTGAGGTCAAGAGGGCAAGCTCGGACAGACCTGGTTCCCATCTCACCTGGCCACGTGCGGACAGCGGCCTTGGGCACATTGCATCACCTTGTTGGCCTCAGTTTCCTTGAGGATAAAGGGGATAATGACAGCTCTTCCTGGGGCTGCTTGAGCCCCGATTGCAGCGATGTAGGTGCATGGCACATGCTGAGGCTCCCGCCGCCGACCAGCTCCCTTTTGTTTTCAAGGTCACGCTGCTGTCCTTTGCCGTGGAGTCAGAGTGCACATTTCTCGACTACATCAAAGGAGGGTGAGAAGACGTGCAGCCTGTTTCCGTGGCCTCGGGGAGAGGGAAGGGGCCTCAAACAAAGGCAGGAGCAGCTCTGGCCCCACCCTGGCCTCCGCGAGGCCCTGGCTGGAGTCTGTGATCCTGGGCTCCAGGCTGCCTTCGCGGAGCTCTGCCTGCCCTGGAGGCTGGCTGGCTGCAGAGGGCGTTCCTGGGCCATGCAGAGCCAGCCGGGCAGGCCAGGTCCCTGTGCCCAGATGAGCCCGGAGGTGGTGGGGACTCCATGCCAGAGTCCCAAGGGCTTGGGGAGGTGGAAAGAGCCCTGGACGAGGAGTCATGAGGCCCAGGCTCCAGACCCCCTTCGCCCTGAATTTGCTGGATTCCTCGGGCAGGTCACTGTCCTTCCCAGGGAATCGGGTTCCTCCTGGGAACACAAGAGGTTGGAGTTTGGTGAATTCTAAGATTCCTTCCTGCTCTGAACTTCTGATACCCCTGGTGTGTCTGTGTGGCAGCGATGAACCTGCCAGGTGTCATGGGGGACATATTAGGGGCAGGAGAGAGTGGGGGGTGGGCCAAGGAGTAGTCCCAGGACCAGCGGTTGGTCAAACACGAATTTAAGGAGCAGGAAGAGCCAGAGGTGTCAGGGTCCGGGCCAAGGCTGCCAGGGAAGCCTGGAGGCTCCAGCCAACAGCTCATGGAAAAGGAGCCGACTGCCAAGGACAGGTGCCAGGCCAGGGTGTGGGTAGCCAAGAGCCCACAGGTGCAGGCAGGTGAGTAACTACACCTGTTTGGAAAGGAGACAGGTAGGGCAGCTGCCAAAGGCTCATCCCAGCCAAGTGGGCACTCGGCTGCCTGGTTCTCCAGGGCAGAGGCGAAGGCAGGGCCTGGGAAGCCACGCCCGCTCTCCCTGCCACGGCTCCCGCGGGCTGGAACCGCCGTCTCAGGTGGGAGCTCTCCTTACCCACTGAGCACACACCCTCCCACAGTCCCCCGGAGGCCTCCTGCCCCCACTCCCTGCCCCCCACCCAGCCTGCTCCCCACCCTGCCCTTGCTCCCTTCCCTCGTCAAAACCGCTCTGTTCTCCATCCACTAAGCAGCCACCCCGTACATTCCGCAGCACCTGGTCATTTCCAGTCCTACTTATCCTCTATCCTTCTCATTTGCATAATACCCCCAAGGTACAGAGCACAATGGGCAGGGAGACGAGGATCTTCATTTTATTTTTTAATTTTATTTTTAATCTTTATTGTTGAAATTATTGCATATGTCCCCCATTCCCCCATCGAGCCCCTCCAGCGGATCTTCACTTTGTATAACTTTCCCGAGGCCGCGGGCCTAGTGGCAAGCCTCCTGTCATGACTGCTGCCTTTCTTCCACAGTCGTGACTCTCCCTGCCTGCCTCCGGCGCCCAGGTGGGGTGGGTGCAGGTGGGGTGGGTGCAGGTGGAGACGGCCGAGTTAAAGGGCTGGGCACTGTGACGTCTCCTGGAGCCGCAGCGGTGGGCGGCTGCTGCGCAAAGCTGGCGCCTGGAGTACCGGGCAAGTTAGAACACCGAGCCGCCCTAGCCCTCCCCTCCTGCACCCGCCCCACGCCTCTCTGCACTCGCTGGAGAGCTGAGAGGCTGGCTCCAGGCGGCGAGAGCCGCATGCGTGTCCGGGCAGGCAGCTGATGGCGACATGTGTCTAGGGATCCTCTCCTCCCTGGCCTCCCTCCGCTGCCCCCCTGGAGGGGTGGGGGAGAGAATGGGCACCTCTGCCCCCACGTCAGAGATGGAGCTGGTTGCTCAGCAGCCTGCGTTCTGCCCTGCTGTGCCCTTAGGCAGGAGAGGTGAGCCGCAGGGAGGAACTTTCCTACCAATACCGTGTTCCAGTCCCTTCATTCCCTGAGTCATTTCAGAACCCAGAGCAGGGAAAACTGCTTAAGGAGCAAGGTCTGCCTGTGCCCTCAGCTGCAGTCCTGCAGGCCAGAGCCACCCTACCAAGGGCAGCCCAGGGGGCCAGGCTCTTACCTGCCCAATGTGTCCCCTCTTCCAATGAAGACATAGCCTCTGTATTCCACCTGAGAGGTGACAAGGAGCAGCAGATGAATAGAGTAGGTCAACTGCTATAACAAATAATTCTCCAACCTCAAGGCTTAGTACAAATAAAAGCTTATGTTTCATTCTTGGGGTGGCAGGGATGGCTGGGGAGATGCTCCACAGTCACTCAGGGACCCAGGCTCTTGCCATCTTGTGGCTCCTTCTCCCTCAGAGCTTAGAGTCCATTAGATGCTCTGCCCCCAGGCAGCAGACCAGGGGGAAGTAGTGTGGGGAGAACTGTTTCTGGCCAGCAGATCCTGGCTTGGGTCTCCTGCTACCCATGTCCTTCACGCTTCCTGGGGGACAAAGGGTCCATGAGCAGTAGCCCAGCTGTGACTAGGTGGAGAGAGGGCTGTGGTTTGATAGGGACCATCTTCTAAATGCAGGTGAGGTGAGCCCTGTCTCATCTTACATCATCCCTGGCCCCAACTTGGAACCACCATAACAGTTTCCCCACATGTGATCCCAGTCAGTGCCAAACTTTGCACTTCTCAGCATCTTGGATGAGGCCAGAGGGTATTCATTAAAGAAGCAGATTCTGGTCCCATCTCAGACCAGCTGGATTGGCATTCCCGGGAGAGGTGCCCTGGGATCTTCCTTTTAAATACGCTCCCTTGATGGCTGTGTTCATTCAGCGTGTGAACCATGAGACCAGACTCTGTCAAGGGCTCATGTCTTGTCAGCTTTGTTCTGTTAGCACCCAGCACAGAACCTGGAACAGCCAAACCCTCAGCAATTTCAACCCTGAATCTGCAGCCTCAAAACCTAACTTTTTTTATTATGGAAAAATCCCAAACACATGCAAAAGTGCAGGGGAGGTATCATGAACCCTGAGGTGCCCTTCGCCGAGGTTCAACAATTACCAGCTCCTGGCCAATCTTGCTCCACCCCCTCTCCCTTCCAGGCAATCATTTTGAAGCAAATCCTAGACATAGTTCATTCCCCCAAGTACTTCAGGATGTGTCTCTGAAATTTAAGGGCTCTCTCTGTCAAATATAACCAAGTATCATAATCACACCTGACAACTGAAAGTTCCTAAATATCTAGTCAGTGTTCAGATTTCCCAATTGAGTTATAAAGTTTTTAATTGGCTTCTTTGAACCCCAAATCCAGGCAAGATCCATATACAGGGGTGGGCAAAAGTAGGTTTACAGTTATAACACAAATAATAAAATAATTAATAAACAATAATATAAGAATAAACTGTGTTTCATGTACTCACAACTTTTGCCCACCCCTGTATTGGGGTTGGTTGATTTGTCTCTTAATTCTCTTTTCTTCTATCAGTTCCCTGCCCCCCGCACCCCTGCACCTGGAGGGGGCTTGCTAAGAGCTTCCTACGCCTGCAGACAGCTTCTGATTCATGGGTCTGCAGGAGACTTAGGGTCCTCCACGTCCACAGGTGATCCGCTCCTGCTGGTCCCTAGGCAGGTGTTCCAGAACGTGCCACGGACTGGCTTTCGCTGGCCGCCCCCCGCGGTGCCCTCTGTCCCCGTGCTTCCTGTGAGCAACTGGTAGATGCTCTGGAGGCTCGGTCCGATTCAGGTTCATTGGGGGCAAGACAACTTCATGGGTGGTGTTTGTTCTTCCCTCAGGAGATGGACAATGTCTATTTGTCTCCTTTTTCTTTTTTTTGGTCAAATAAGTTTTAACCCTGAATCTGACTGCAAATTTGAGCCAGAAACACAGTGAGACTCTACTTCCCCGGCCTCAGGGGGCCCAGGGGCAGGGCTTGGGGAGCAAATAAGTGGGCGTAATCACTTGCCCACACAGAGCATCTGTTGTCTTCAAAGAGCTTCACTCCGCCTGGCTCTTGTGATGCTCACAGCAGCCCTTTGCAGGGTGGGGGGAGGGGAGGCTGGCGTTACATTCCAGTTTTCCAGATGGAAAGACCACACACCGGCCAGCAGTGGCTGGTGGGCCCAGGCTTCCCACCCTCCACCCTGCTCCCCCTCCCCCAGCCCCGCCTCTGTCCAGGCAACGCCCTGCTGTTCTCCTTCCTCTAGGACCCAGATCAACTTCACAGTGGCCATCGACTTCACGGCCTCCAATGGTGAGTGGGGGCTGGCAGAGGCGCTGGATGGGGTGGGGGTGGGGGTGGGGGAGGGGAGGCTGCTCAGGGCTGTGGTGGCTGCCCTCGCTGGCAGCCAGGTCTTCCATACGCTCTGGCCTCGTCCTCCCTGAAGAGGAGGTGCTTAGGCCCCGAGAGCCAAAGATGGAACCACCGTCCTAACAGGTGTGGGCCCTGAGCCACTGCCCTTGAGGGCACCCGGTCTCCCTGGGGGAATAGGACCAGCTGCTCTGGGCCCTGGAGAGCCCTGGAGCGGAGCTGCTTGCTCACAGGATCGAATCCCACACCCTCTGCAGTGCAGCCCCCGGGCTGGAGGGGAGACTGGAGTCAGGCCTGAGTGCATGGTCCTCCGTGAGGGCAGACACGCAGCCCAGGAACCCCGGTCCTCTCCGTGCTGGGGCTGCCCCACTTCCTCGCCTCCTCTGACCGTCTCCAGTGTCGGGCTGGGGCGGAGCCTCCAGGAGCAATCAGGGCCAGGCCTTGCGCTGTTAGAAACATCACCACCTTCGCTGGAGTCTGCACCCCATTAGCGGTGCTCAATGCTCATTTTTGTGCCAATCAGAAGACACCCAGGTCTCACTGCACAGGTGTGTCAGAAACCCCAGGCCCCATGGAGGGTGGTAGGATGTCAGAGCTGGGAGGGGCCTCCATGCTAATAACAATGAGGTGAGTTACCATAACGCCTCTGTAATCCTCACAACAGCCCTAGGAGGGGGCACTGTTATCCCCATTCTACAGATGAGGAGACTGAGGCTGAGAGGTTAGGAACTCACCCAAAATCACACAGCTGGTAGGAGGTAGAGACGGGGTTGGTACCTTTGCAGCCTGTGCTTACTGCCTCTCATTAATAAGTAAAATATGGACAATATTTAGTGGTAAAGGCAATGGAGAAACGTCAAACGAGGGAGAGGGATAGAGAGGGAGGACGGGGAGCTGTGACTTTCATGGGCTGCTGGGAAGACCACACTGAGAAGGTGAAACCTGAAGAGGTGGGGGAGCAAGCCACGTGCACACCCGCGGAAAGTGTCCCAGCGCAGAGGGGGCAGCCATTGCCACGGCCCCGAGGGGGACTGAGTGAGTGGCAGGGAGGGTGTAGGAGGCGAGGACAGGAGTAACTGGAGGCTAGTCATGCGGGACCTTGTGAGGAATTTGGGTTTAACTCCGAGTGAGATGGGAGCCTCAGAGCCCTTTGAGCAGAGAAGAGGTGGCATCCAGCGGCCACAGACTGAGGGCTCGCCGGCTGGTGTGCTGAGCTCGGGCGGCAGGCACAGGGCGGGGAGGCAGGGGTGGCAGGAGGCCGCCGCTGCCCCGCAGGCCAGGGCACCGTGGGATCCTGGGACTCGGATATTCTTTGAGGGGTTTAGCAACCAGGCTTTGCTCCAGGATGGAATGTGCAGTAAGACAGAACGGCATCGAGGGTAAATAAGCAAAAGCGAGGGGTGCCGTGGGACACCCCTTCTGATTCTGAAGCCGAGGGGGCTTGGCGTGTGCACGCCCGCACGTGTCCCGCGTCCTGTGTCGCAGGGAACCCCTCGCAGTCCACGTCCCTGCACTACATGAGCCCCTACCAGCTGAACGCCTACGCGCTGGCGCTGACCGCCGTCGGGGAGATCATCCAGCACTACGACAGCGACAAGATGTTCCCCGCCCTCGGCTTCGGGGCCAAGCTGCCCCCCGACGGCAGGGTGTCCCATGAGTTCCCGCTGGTAGGAGGCCCAGAGAAAGGGCTGGGCTGATCCCTGGGGGGAGTGGTGACCAGCCCGGGGTGGGGGCACGTCCCCTCTTACCCGCCTAGGGCCTTCAGGGGCCGCCTTTGGGGGGGGGGTGGCTGCCTGCTGTGTGCAGGGGGTCTTGTCGCTGGGCCTCCAGAAACCGCGCCCCCACCTTGCTCACAAAGACTCCCATCACGTGTGAGGCCACCCTCAGTGGCTCTGGCCTCCTTTTCCTGACAAGACCAGGAGGTGGAGGGGTATGTGGCTGTACTTTCCCCCAAGGCCCCAGAAATGAGGAGGGGGTGTGGGTTGGGTACAGGCAGCTGCGGGGAATTCCAGGAGCTCCCTGGGCTGGTGCTGATGGGGGCCACCTCCTCCCCTCCCTGCCATGAGCTGGGGACGCTGATTCAGTCCCTGGGTCACTCACAGCAAACGCCCCTCACAGCCCTCGAAGTGCCAGCCCGGTGCTGGGCACAGGGCGAAGGAGGGGGGGTAGCCCTTTCAGAGCTGTTTGGACCCTGCAACCACTTTCCAGCTGGGCAGGTGCCGGGCTGGTGGGGGGCTTATCTGAGCAGGTGCAGGGAGTGGCGTGAGGAACACGTGCTATCCTTCAGGGTGGGCCCCCACCTGCCCTCCTCCCCTGTCCCCCCCACCAGGGAAGAGTGTAGGAGAGCCCAGGCCTGCTGGCCTCTGCCCCTGCTCCTATCGCCCTCCGCCTTCCCGCCCCTCCTTCCTGCCTGGGCTCAGCCTCCTGGGCTCAGCCTCCATCCTCTGCCCCCAGAACGGCAACCAGGACAACCCCTCGTGCTGCGGCATCGACGGCATCCTGGAGGCCTACCACCAGAGCCTGCGCACCGTGCAGCTCTACGGCCCCACCAACTTCGCCCCCGTCGTCACCCACGTGGCCAGGTGAGCCGGCCACTAGACCCCGCCCCAGCAGCTCACAGCGTTTGTCTCCACACCTGTCCCCTTGCCTTTCAGGGAGCCCTGACCCTAAGAGACCCCCTCCAGCCAAAGAGCTGTCCCCACCGAAGTGTTAAGGGTCCCTGTGTGTGTGTGTGTGGGGGGGGTGACGTGCCCAGAGCCTCCCAGACAGACTGCGCGCCCCCCAGGAATGCGGCCGAGGTGCAGGACGGCTCCCAGTACTCCGTGCTGCTCATCATCACGGACGGGGTCATCTCGGACATGGCGCAGACCAAGGAGGCGATCGTCAACGTGAGCTGGGGGGCGGGAACCCGCGGGCGCACCTTCCCACTCCTTTAGGGAGACGCTTGGCCTGGCTTCTCGGCTCCCCGCCCTGGGTGGGACCCTGCTGGCTTCTGGCTGCAGCATCTGGAGGGCCTAGCCCTGGGGTTGGGGCCATCTGTCCCAGTGGTCCCACCGTGAGCTCCCCACCCGCCTCTCAGCCATACTGGGTGGTCCGCTCCCTCCGGCCACCTCTGGCCCTCATTAGCTGCCCTGGGAACTCAGCCTGGCCAGGTAGAGAACTGGGAGGTCCAGGCCACACAAAAGAGGCCCGGAGGCAGAGGAGGGGTGGGGGTCTGGCAGAAGCAGACCTGGGTCCCTGGGTCTGTAGCCCTGGCTGCCCTCTCCCTCTCCCCCGCTTTTCTGGGTTTCTCTGTGTCTCCATCCTTCTCCCTTCCTTTTCTTCCCTTCCTCCTGACTTCCTTCTTTGATCTGTCCTCTGTCCCTAAACACGATCTCCTCCTCCTTTTAACGGGCCCCTCGGCTGGGTCCCAAACACCCCCACCTCCCGCTGTCTCACAGGCTGCCAAACTGCCCATGTCCATCATCATCATCGGCGTGGGCCAGGCGGAGTTCGATGGTGAGTCCCTCCCCCCCCCCCATGCTCCCCGAGGCTCCAGGCCCCTGGGAGGGACCCTGTTCCACAGAGCGAGGCTCACACCTGGCGTGTGTGACCAGCTGGGTCAGCTGGCAGCGCGCAAGTGTTTGTTTGCGCAGGGGCCTGTGTGTCAGGGCGTGCGCCCCACACCCACACCCCAAGGCTGTGGAGAGGAGGCCAATGACTCCTCCCTCCTCCCACCCTGGGAGCCTGGGAGCGGGAAGCTGGAGGCTGGGCTAGAACTTAGGACTCACTGGGTGGGCTTCCCCTGTCTCCTGGCCTCAGTTTCCCCATCTCTCACATGGGTCTCTGCCCTGGATGGGCCAGGGATTGGCCCCTGACTTGCCCCCACTCCGTGCCTCCCCCCCCCCCCCCCACAGCCATGGTGGAACTGGACGGCGACGAGGTGCCGATCTCTCTCCCGGGGGAAGCTGGCTGAGCGGGACATTGTCCAGGTGAAGCCCTGCTGCCCCCCAGCCGGCTGACCTCACACTCCCTGGGGGGCCTTTCTGGAAAGGCTAGAGGGCGGCGCTGGGAGCCCAGGTGGCCTGGCCTCCGCAGAAGGAACGGGAGTCAGTCCTCAGGCCTCAGCTCCCAGCCGTGCATGAGACTCACCCCTAACTCGCCCACCCAGCCCTCCCTGCACCCCAGCCCTCCCCGCACCCCAGGCCTCCATGGGCTCCTACAGAGCACGGCGCCTGGTTATTGCACCTTCTGTGTTCTGCCAGGCGCCTCCCCACCCCCCGCAGCTGGCAGCCCCTGGAGGGAACCTGCCCGCTCGGCTCGGTGACAGTGTCCTAAGTCTCCATGTAGGATGCAGGTGTAACGAGCAGACAGGCCCTCACATGCACCTCAGCCGGCAGCCCCTCCCGGCATCCCCTGCGGACAGCCCCACTGTTAGGAGATTCGGAATGAAAAGCACATTCTCCATACCCTGGGGTGGGAGGGGTCGTTCCAGGTGTGGAGGCCAGATGGGGGGCTAGAAACCCGAGCAAGTCTGGGAGGTGGCACCGTGGATGCGAAGGCCTGGGGGACACCCCTGGGAGGAAGCAGAGGGGCCTGACTTAGGAAAGAGGGCTCTGCTGGGAGGGGGGCTACCTGAGGGCCCAACTCCCGGAAGCAGGGGTCCATTCAGCACTTCCTCAGTGCCCAGTGCCCAGACCTCGGACCGAGGAACCGCGTTGAGCACCCTGGCGTCGACTAGGTGCTCAGGAGGTGTTTGCGTGACAGAGAGAGTAGTGACATGATGACAGCTTCCCTGGAGAGCTCACCATGGGGGAGGGAAGAGAGAAGTGGGCAGAGGTTGGGAGGAGGGGGCAGGATCTCCGCCTGGGGATGTGGGGGGCTGGGCCCAGCAGAGACCTTGCCTAACCCTGCCTCCCCCGCCGGCCAGTTCGTGCCCTTCAGGGACTACGTGGACCGCACGGGCAACCACGTGCTGAGCATGGCGCGCCTGGCCCGGGACGTGCTGGCCGAGATCCCCGACCAGCTGGTGTCCTACATGAAGGCCAAGGGCATCCGCCCGCGCCCCGCACCTGAGGCCCCCGCCAGCTCACCCTCCCAGTCGCCAGCCCGCACGCCCCCCGCCTCCCCCTCCCCATCCCCCTCCCCCGTGCACACGCACATCTGAGCCTGGCCCGTGGCGGGTGGCTGGGGCCTGGGGAGGCCGGGGGAAGGGTGCCTGGGTCCCTGGAGCCCCACAGTCCGCCTGGCCCAGCCTTTGGGACCCGTGTGGCGGAGGACGGGCCTCTGGAGACGCCCTCCCAGGTTCCTGGCCTCGCTTATGGCCCAAACCCAGGGAGTCAGGCTGATGGGGCCCTGCTCTTCTCCTCCTCCCCTGACACTCGGCTCTAGTCCAGCCAGGAAGGTGGTAGCAGTCAGGCTGATGGGGCCCCTCAGCACCCTGGACCGTCCCGTCTGCTACTCTCGCCACTGAAGCCGGGGCTGGGCCTCCCTCCTCCAGGCCCCCGCACCCTCCCCTCCTCCTGCGCTGTCCACTCCGCTACCTGGCCCTGACCCCCACCCCAGCACCTACCCTGTCCCTCTTCCCAGTGAGCCCCTGGAGGCTGACGGGTTGGCAGGAGGCCTGGACATGGGGCCCTCCCAGGGACACTTGCTTGCACTGGGGACCCCGCAGCACCACGAAGGGGCGGCTGTGATGTGGACCGTAGGCCGCCCGATGGGCCAGCCACGGAGGCTTTTCAGGCACAAGGTCTTTTCCAGGGCCCCCAGCCCAGCACGACACTGGTTCTAGACACAGAGCCACAGGCCTCTCTCTGGCCTGTGGGCACCACAGTTGACTCCGAGCTCCAGGCACCCCTACCTCCCCCCAGAGGCCGCCCAGGGTCCTTGGTGCCCACTCCTCCGCTGCCCACCTAGAGGCCTGGGCCAGGAGCAGCCCAGCCCTGCACTCCCACACGGCCCCTGCCCCCCACAGACAGGAGCCAGGGTCCTGGGCTCAGGCCCTGCTGCAGCCCCTGCCTGCTGTGGGAGCCTCGGTATCCACATCTATAAAGCAAGAGGGTTGACCAGATGGTCTCAGGGTGACCTTCCGCTCTGAGGCCCTGAGAGTCCATTCCTCCCATGCCCAGCCTCCCCATCCCGCCCCCACCAGTGCACCTCCTACTCCAGGCCGTCTTGGCTCTAGGGTCACCCTGTTCCATCCTTGGGCTCTGCCACCTGGGCCCGAGCCCCTGCCCCGGCCGTGGGAAAGGTGAGGAAGGTGATCTCACCCCTGGGCACACCCACTGCCCAGCCTCTCCCGCCTGGGAGCAGGTCATGCATGCCGGTCCCTCCTGCCGCATGGGGCTCCGCAGCCCGCTGAACGTCCTGTGCCTGGGCGCGACCAGGCCCCACCCTGTCTGTGCCCGGCACCGCTCCCTTCCTGTCATGCATGATGGTGGAGTTTCTACACTGTCTGGTCCTGTGCCTGTGTCTGAGAGTCTCTGTGTGGAATTTGCCTTAAACTGAAGTAAATTTGGTTCTTTTACTAAAGTTCCTTGTTTTCCTTTCTCCCGAGACAAATAGCACAGGGGTTGCTGTGTGACAGAGTCCAGGTTCTCGTCTCTCTCTCTCTTTCATTCTTTTGTTCAACAAGGATTTATTGAGCAACTGGTACGTGCCGGGGTCTGTGCTAAGCACCGGGATGCAGCAATGAACCAAGCACAGACCCCGTCTCCGCATGGAGCTTACAGCAGACACAGATAGGACAGGAAATGTCGTAAGCGCACAAACACATAGGCAGACAACGTAATTTCGGGTGGTGATAAGTGACAGACAAAATTTTGAGAGAATAAGAGGAGAGAGAGTAACAGGATGATCTTTTATCTTATTAATCCTCACCCGAGGGTATTTTTCCATTGATTTTTAGAGAGAGTGGAAGGGACGGGGAGAGACACAGAGAGAGAAGCATCACTGTGAGAGAGACACATCGACTGGTTGCCTCCTGCATGCGCCCTGACCAGGGCCAGGGATCGAATCTGCAAGCTAGGGACATGCCCTTGACCGGAATCGAAGCCGGGACCCTTCAGTCCACAGGCTGAGGCTCTATCCACTGAGCCAAACCAGCTAGGGCCAGGGTGATATTTCAGATGAAGTCGTCAGTGAGGGCCTCTCTGAGGAGGTGCAGTTGAAGTGAGTCCTAAAGAAATGAGAGAGGGAGGCAAGGGGAACAGCAGGTGCAAAGGCCCTGAGGCGGGAGCCTGCTGGTGCGTTTGGAGGACAGCAAGGAGGCCAGTGTGGTTGGAGCTGCAGTAGGAGGGCTAGTGTAGGAGACCCGGTCAGGGAGCTGAAGAACAGGACACGTGGTAAGGCCTCGGCGTGACTCTCACTGGAGGTGAAAGAGGTAACGTGACCCGATTGTTCTCTAAAACAAGTGGGAAAACAAACAAAAAACAACAAGGACTTTATTTAGACGGTAACATGTCCCCTTCCCCCAAATCGTAGCTCTACCTTAAAAATAAGTAAAACAAGTGAGTCACTTCATTGCACTTGATCATCCATTCACTCATCTTTCAACAAGTATTGACTGAGCGTTAGTGCGAGGCCCCACTCAGGGCGGAGACCCTGACTCACACGGTTGCACCCTCAGGGCGCTGCCCTTGCTCTGGAGCAGTGGGCAAGGGCCTCCTACTCCCTGGGGTCCTGAGGCCAAGCCAGTGGGCGGGGCCGGGGTCTGTGGGCACCGAGAACAACTCACAGGCCAGGTGCCAGGATGAGTTACTGCTCCTCCGTGCAATGGCACCATCACTCCTCCCTCCCAGGGTTAGGGTGTGGCCCGACGAGTGATATGTAGATATGCACACATGGAACGTGTGCAGGGCACAGGACCTGCTGCGCTGTAGGTATAAGCAGACACCTTTTCCTCCTTGTCCCTCTCCACATATGAATCCCCGAGGCCATCGGGGACCAGTCTGCTCTCAGATTAGGCCTCCAGAGAGCCGTTCCCAATCTGCACATCACAAGAAGCTTGGTACGGATTCTACCAAAGCGTGGGACATGTTTACTTCTTAGGATTCGTAGTAACGTAGCTCATCCTGGCTGTCCCTGTAATTAGCTGCTCCTCTGACTTGCATTCCTATATGCTTGGGCGGGAACCGAGCAGGGTCACAGCTCGGGAAGAGGGGCGTTCCCATAACCAGAGGCCCATTTCACCTCTCCCTGGGCGCTTTGGAGGAGATGCCCACCTGGCAGGGGAACTGAGGCTCAGAGCCACGGCCTCAGGGTGCCGAGAGCATCTTTACTGTGCTCAACACTTAACTCCTCTCCTGGGCTCTTTCCCAGGGTGTGTCCCATGGGACACTGGTTCCCTAGCATGGATTTTAGGAGACTGCCAGCTCTGAGCACCTCTCAGAAAATCCAAGTGGCCTTTAGGGTATTCAAGGCTCTGATAAGTCCTGCAGCCAAGAGACCAGTTTGACTTGGTTCAACCCAGTGTTTTTGACCGTGGAGTCAGTGTGTGTGTGCGCGCACATGTGCGGGTGTGTGTGCTTAGCTGTAGCACTATTACCAAGCAGACCAAGTTGTCTGGGAATTTCAGTGGAGACAATATCCCCGGTTCCCAGGCCAACACACAAGCCTGAGGCTTGCTCTCAGGAGGCCAGAGAGAGTGCGTAGATACAGGGGAGGAGAGATGGAGGCCTCTATTTGCTCTGGAGAGAAGGAAGGGCCTCGAAAGGGGCCCCTACCCCAGCCATGCGGGAAAGAGAACCACAGAGAAGAAAGAAGGGTGTTCAGAATTCACAGGCCCAGATTCATGGCTCCATGGTTGACCGTATTTGTGTTCCCTTATTGGGCTGAGAGGTTTGTGTGTGACAGCTGGGGGAGGGCAGGCAGAGGAGGGAGAGGCTGTTAGGGTGAGGGGCAGGCAGGGTCGGGTGGGGGTACCTGGGCCCTGGCCCACCACCAGCAGCAGGAGCCCATTGGCCAGCAGCCCCCCCCCCCCCCAGCAGGCTGAGACCTAAGAGCCTGATAGTCACTCAGGTGTGGCTGTGAGCCGGGCAGTGACCGTGGCATTGGGCTCTGTTCTGCTCCAGACACGTAAGGACGCATAGAAACCAGCCCGCGGGCCACCTCCCTCTTTCCCCTATTGAGCCCCAGTCTTTCCACAGACCCCTGCGTACAGGGGACGCCCTGGACATGCATTAGCCCTTTAGACCTCACAGCAACCTGGTGGGACGGCTCCGCCAGTGCCCTGGGTCCCAGCCCGAATCTGCTCCTGGGGAGTTGCAGGACCTTGGGAAGTTACCTCGTGTTTCTCTGCCTCCGTTTCCTCAACTGTAAGAAGTGAGGAAATAAGGAAAATAAAACGATGTCAACAGTAACTGTCACTAAAGGGCGAGATTCAGGTAACTTTCATTTTTTTCTTTTTAATTTCTTATTTATAAAATGTCTTCATTGAGTACAAATGGAATCTGATAAATATCATGGAAACAGATAGAGATAGATGGAGATGGAGATGGAGATGGAGATGGAGATGGAGATGGAGATGGAAAGATAGAGATAGAGATAGAGATAGAGATAGAGATAGAGAGATAGAGATGGAGATGGAGATGGAAAGAGATAGAGATAGAGATGGAGATGGAGATGGAGATGGAGATAGAGATGGAAAGATAGAGATAGAGATAGAGATAGAGATAGAGATAGAGATAGAGATAGGGAGATGGAGATGGAGATGGAGATGAAGATGAAGATGGAGAAGATGTATGCTTTCTTTTTAAGCAAAAAGACTTTGACCTTGAAACAGGGATATTTTAACCTGAGGTTCAAGTATGAAAGTGGATGCCCAGGGCTTTGAGAAGGTGTCAAGTCCCGACCACCGGTCCCCAAGTTTGCCTGCACATTGGAGGCACTTGAGGCTTTGAAAATACTACTGCATGGGTCCTACCCCCAGATACATGATTTACTGGTCTGGGCTTTGGCGGCCACCTAGAGCCTCTGCGGTTGGGGGGTGCTGCATCCCAGCTGTTATCTCCCTCCTCACCCCACTCCACCCACATGCTGAGGGCGGGGGGCACCTGATTGAGGGACTCAGCCTGGGAGATGGGGTGTAGACCCAGAGTCAGCCCACGGCTGATGTCGCCGCCTGCTGCCTTGCAGGGCGGGATGGACACCCTCCCACCTGCAGTGGGGAGAGGCTGGCCCGTAATTCAACAAATAAATATTTCCTGAGTGTCAACCCTGAGCCAGGTGCTGGGGATCCAGCAACAAACAAGACAGTGCAGTGGGATCCTCATTCCAGTTCCCACCCCCTTTCTCTTACAGTGGGGACAGGCCTGGAGGCCCTCTCCAGCTGGCTCAGAGCCAGGGCTGCGGGTCCCCGAGCCCCCTGCAGAGCCTGCCCAAGAACCTGCTTGGTCCTACTCTCCTTTTCTTTCTTTCTTTTTTTTAAAATTAATTTTTATTGGGTTTTAGAGAGAGGGGAGGGGAGAAAGAGAGAAACATTGTGAGAAAAAAGCACTGATTGGTTGCCTTCCACATGCACCCCGACTGGGGATTGAACCCAAAACCTAGACATGTGCCTGACTGGGAATCGAACCAGCAACCCCTCGGTGAATGGGACAATGCTCAGCCAACTGAGCCACACGGGCAGGGGCTCACCCTTCTTTTCTTTTCTTTTTTTTAAAATATATTTTTTATTGATTTTTCACAGAGAGGAAGGGAGAGGGATAGAGAGTTGGAAACATTGATGAGAGAGAAACATCAATCAGCTGCCTCCTGCACACCCCCCACTGGGGACGTGCCCACAACCAAGGTACATGCCCTTGGCCGGAATCGATCCTGGGACCCTTCAGTCCGCAGGCCGACGCTCCATCCACTGAGCCAAACCAGTCAGGGCTCACCCTTCTTTTCTTAATCAGCCTCGAGCTAAGCTGTGACCTGAGGCCCCTTGGCTGACATGCGCTGAGAGCTCACGGCTTATCTGAGAGTCCACTCTGCAGTCTACCTGGAGTCCCTCCTGCTGCTGTCCCTGCCTGCCTCGTGCTGCTCCGGGGCTGCTGGGCTCTGCTCGCTGACTTGGAACCTGTGGCACCAGGAGGCCGGGCCTCCACAGTGTGCTCTGCACAGAGGCTGGACCCAGCAGAGGAAGCCAAGAGGGCTCCGGGCAGGAGTGCAGGCCCTTCCAGCACCGTCTCTAGGGAGCTCCAGGCAGCTGCCTGAGCGGGGACAGAGCCGAGAGAGGAGGGGCAGGCTCGGGCCACTAGTGCACTGGGTCCCCCAAAGGACGGGGCTCTGTCTGCTCTCCTGGCCCCCCAGGAGTCACACCCTGCCTGCCTCCTTAGCTCACTGACCCTCAGGACAGATGTCGCTGCCTGCCAGCACCCTGGACCCCAGAGAAGGAGCCATTAGCCAGAGCAGGACTTGCCCACCCCTGTCCAGGACCAGGCATCCCTCACTACAGCCCGGGCCGTGTGTGTCTTGCTCTGAGCACGACAGCCTAGACCAGTGATGGCGAACCTATGACACGCGTGTCAGGTGACACTCGAACTCATTTTTTTGGTTGATTTTTCTTTGTTAAATGGCATTTAAATATATAAAATAAATATCAAAAATGTAAGTCTTTGTTTTACTATGGTTGCAAATATCAAAAAATTTCTATATGTGACACGGCACCAGAGTTAAGTTAGGGTTTTTCAAAATGCTGACACGCTGAGCTCAAAAGGTTCGCCATCACTGGCCTAGAGACTGCTCAGAGCAGCAGGCCAGCGGGCCGACTCAGAGGACCCGGGCGGGGGCGGGGGGCGGCGAGGGGGGGAAGACACTGTGGGTGGGAGAGGATCAGCGAGGGCCGGTGACAGAACAGGCTGGGCCACAGAATCAGCCTGCATACAGGCTAGAGGTCGAAAGAGGTCCCTCAAGGGCATCTGGTCCAAGCTTGGCGGCTTCTGATGCCTGAATTTCTCCACCTCACCTCTTGCCAAGTGTCACCTGGCTTCAGCTTCTGTGCCTCTAGTGGCTGACCTGAGGCCTCCCTTTCAGAATCCAGCAGCAGGACGGGCAGGCGGGGACGGTGATTAAACAGCAGGAAGGCGCCGCCGCTTTCTCCTCTCTGTGCCGCTGTCTCTCGAAGTGTCTGTGCTTGTCTCTCTGTGAAACTGGGGTTTCCTCTGATTCAGCTGAGGAATTCACCCGACTGATCGCAAAGTACCAGCTCGGTGCCCTGCCCGCTGCCCGCAGCGCCGTGAGCATTGCTGTGGTTACCAGGCGGGGGAGACAGAACAGCGGCAGCAAGCAGATGGCAGGAGATACCCAACCCGGGCAAAGACCCTGCCAGGAGGCCAGTGGGGAGACTGTGGGAACTCCCACAGACGCTCTACCCAATCAAGCCAGTCTCCCCAGCTGCTCCCTGGCCCCCCTCACAGCCCAGCTGTGCCTCCGGGGCATCCAGAGGTTGAGGCCTCGGGGCAGAGGGCTGCACCAGGGGGCACCTGGCCTTGGGGGCAGGGGCGGGATCCCGAATGTGAGCCCTTAGGGGCAGATCTTGTGGAGAGGGCTGGGGCTCAGGGAAAGGGGGGGCCTATCAGGGACCATGAGGACATTGCTCTTCCCAGGAATCCATTCTTCTCGGAGGAAACGCCAAGCCTGCAAACAGCTTCGTGAGCGCGACAAGGTCACGGCCTTGCCGGGCGCGGAACAGGGGACGGCTTTAACGAGCGGAGGACTTGGTCGTTAACGGGCCATGCCGGTTAGGAATCAGCACCACAGCAAGGCCCTTGAACAGTTTCTTCCCCCCTCAACATGCATTTTTATTTCTGACTATAGAGGAACACCCAGTCACCGTAGAAGATCCAAAAAGACAAACACGTATAAAAGGAAGATACCGGCCCCACATTCACCCTATAATTTTACTGCCCAGAGATGGGTGGCTAATATTGTGGTGTATTTTCCTTAAGCTGTTTCTCTAGACCCGTGGCGGCAAACTGCGGCTCGCGAGCCACATGCGGCTCTTTGTCCCCTTGAGTGTGGCTCTTCCTAAGCCTTAGGAGCACCCTGATTAAGTTAATAACAATGTACCTACCTATATAGTTTAAGTTTAAAAAATTTGGCTCTCAAAAGAAATTTCAGTCGTTGTACTGTTGATATTTGGCGCTGTTGACTAATGAGTTTGCCAACCACTGCTCTAGACTTTTCCTCTCTTTAAAGAGTCCCCCACCCCAAGGTTATTTGCTCAGCAAAGTCCTTCTTCCGGGAGCGAAGGGCAGCGCTAGTGCAGCCCCGGCCCTGGGACCCGAGCCCTGACCCGGGAGGATTCTCTGGATCTTCCGAGCTGGGCCTCCGATGTTGCTGTCCAGGCAGGCGGGACAGGGAGCCCGAGGGGGGCCGTCCCCCCAGCCGGGCCAGCTGGTCAGGAGCAGCAGCCAGCTTTCTTCGGCGGCCTCTCCGGGGCCACCTCCACCAGCGAGCCCTTCAGGAGGTCTTCTTGCCTCTTGAGTGACCTGCACGAGCACCCCCAGGCATCAGTCCTCTCTCTCAGCTCCCGGGGCAGCAAGAGGGGCCCGTGGGTGCAGCTGGGGGACCGGAGAGCTGGGCCCCTGAGCTGCCTCTCTCCTCCCGGCTCTGCCCCTGCCCTACATGCCACAGGCACCAGAAACACGGGGCACGGAGACGGTGGGTTCCGTCCCTTTTCTGGCGTTCTTTCCAGCCTGCTACGTGCCGGGCTCTGTGCCAGGGACTCCGACTGTGACAGTGACGCCAGCGTGTCCTGGCCTTGGGTAGTGGGGGAGGCGGAGGAGACCGGGGGATCAGGACCCGGATAGCGAAGCGCCCAGAGGGACTTCACAGCAGGTCCCGGGGGATTAGGGAGGAAGGAGGCAGTGCCTGGCTGAGACCCAGCAGTGGACGAAGGTTTGCCGGCAGAAAAGGGGGTAGAATTCGGGGAGAGGGCAAAGGCTCCGTGTTAAGAGAGAACTTGGGGGTTGAGAAAGCAAAAAATGCCCATTCATGTTCATTCACTCATTCATTCATTCATAGTATGTTTACGGCCGATCAATGATTCTCTCTCATCATTGATGTTTCTGTCTCTCTCTCCCTCTCCCTTCCTCTCTGAAACCAATAAAAATATATTTTAAAAACTACAACACACAATATGTTTGCTATGTGCTGGGCCCTTTGCTAAATCCCAGAGCTGAGGACTGAATGGCCAGAGGAAGCCTCGGAGGCAGCCGGGCTCGGGTTCTGTGGGCCTGGACGCAACGGGCTGCCATCCTAGAGCAAAGGGAAGCCGTGGCGCGGTTTCTGGCCGGAGGGCATCATGGCTGCCCGGGTTACAGATTAGCAAGTCGCTGTAGACACTTTGTCAGAGAAGGGGCTTAGAGGTCATCTGGTCTGATACTCCTGCCGCTGCCTCCTTCATTCATTTATTGAGCACCCAGTATTTGCCAGGTCCCAGGTGTGGGGGGCGGGGCTAAACAAAATAGACAAAGCCATGCCCTCCAGGATCTATAGCCTGGGGCGGGAGGAGGCAGCAGGGCAATGAGAAAACAGACAAATGCATGTGTAATTCTAATTTGTCACCAAGGGCTTTGAAGGACAGAGACCTGAGTCCAGCATAGTGGTGGGAGGGGGTGGTCATGGAGGGCCCCCTGAGGGGCTGAAGCTTGTGTGTGTGTGTGCGTGTGCATGTGTGTATGTGTGTGTGTGTGTGTGTGTGTGTGTGTGTGTGCAGGGAGATGGCCCTGGAGACAATGCAGGATGCTGTGAGTCATTGGCATTGTATCTAAATCCAGTGGGAGTCACTAGAAGGTTGGGAACACTTTGCCAATGAGAAAACTGAGGCTCAGAGACCAGATGTGGCTCTGGGAGGTGACGCAGCGAGTGGGCTGGTAGAGCTGGCGGCTCTCCACACAGCGCTCTCTCCACACTGGGGAGCCCTGTGGTTTCCGAGGTGCTTCCCGCCCAAGCTGGCTGAGGGCTGCCCAGGGTTCAGGGTGGGAAGCGGGGCACTCACCTGGCCAGGTTCACCATGGGCTCCAGGATGTTGTGACCCAGGGCCGCGCTGCATTCTCCGAAGGAGAGCCCCAGCTCCTGCAGGCCAGACAGATGGGAGTGGGTGCCCTGGGGGAGACCACTGGAGTCCAGGAGGCAGCCCACCCCCAACAGCCTGGCCCCAGGCAGAGTCCCGCCCAGTCGGTCCCTAGGCCAACCACAGAGGGCGAGGCAGCCCCATCTCCGTGTCTCCAAGGTCCCCAGCCTCGCCCCTCTGCCCGCTGCCCCTCCCCCCTGGCTGGGCAGGTGTCAGTGACACCCTGGAAACAGCCTACAGCCTGTGTCCTGACTTGGAGAAATGTCCGTGATTTTTTAAACCATTAGTTATGTTGTTTATTTCAATAATATTTAATTGGGGGAAATATTAGAAAAGACAACATAAAAAGTACAAAATATAAACCACCCCTGTTGGCATATACACTGAGTGGCCAGATTATTATGACCACAGACGTTTGTAGGCAAATTAGCTATAATTTCGTGCTGAAGTTGCTAGAGGGCCAGACCATTATAAATGTCTGAATAGCACAACATACCTAAGTATCGTTGCTGATCAAGTTCATCCTATCATGTTGATGGCGTATCCCAATGGAGATGGCTTCTTCCAACAAGACAATGCACCATGCCACGGTGCTCGTACTGTGCAGGAGTGGTTTCAAGAACATGAGGGAGACTTTACCTTGCTTAGGCAGCCCCCACAATTACCAGATCTCAATCCAATTGAGCATTTGTGGGACGAAATTAAAAGAGCCATCAGGCAGCTGGTTCCACCACCATCAAGTCTCACAGACATGGACAGTGCTATTCATCAGGCATGGTGTCAGATTCCTCGCATCACCTTTCAACATCTCGTGGAGTCAATGCCAAGAAGAATCGCAGCAGTATTGAAGGCGAAAGGTGGCCCAACGAAGTACTGATGGGGTGGTCATAATAATCTGGCCACGCAGTGTATATTTCCATTCTGTTTTATATAACCCTTTTATTGGGGGCGGAGCTAAATGTCATTATACCATTAGATTAAGCCAACGAAACTGCTGTTTTGTAGGCTCCAAACAGTCAGATGTCAGCAATCTCATAGGGGTCGACCCAACCTGTACCCAGATTTGCAGCTGCTGTTCTGACATCACATTATGGTGGAAGCACTTCTTCCACACCCTTCACTATTGTCCCGGGGCAGGGCTCTTAACGGCAAATGCTAGCCTCTCACAGGAACTCCACAGCTTAACTACCGGCTGCTGTCCGGGCTTTTCCTTATAAATACCGCTGTGAACACCATCCTGCTGTAAGCATGTCTGATTACACATTGTACATGGGGGCCAGCTCCTTCTTCTCTAGGGGCTGTTATTTCTGCTTCTTTTAGGGCAAATTGCTAGAGGAGGAATTACTGTGTCAGAGAGATGAGCTACTACTTTTAGTTAAGAGGAAAACATTCCCACCCCGCAGGCGCCTCAGCGATGAGCTCATGAGCAGGAGGGACGAGACCAGAGGAGAGGAGAGGAGAGACACGGGAGGGAGACGCAGTGTGAGAATGCCGGCAGGGGTGGGGCAGAGGTGGGGCAAGGAGTGGCTTCTTTTTATTTTTTTTATGTTTTCGTTATTATTCTCCAGATTTTCTGGAATCTAGTCAACTTCTATTCATAAATAAATAGTAACCACTGTCTGGTGGTGGGGCTTTTGATGTTAACCTTCCTGGGGAAGAATTTGAGTCTTAAAATAGAATAAATTAGAAGGAACGTTATGTTAATTAGAGGCCAGAGATAAAATTAAGATTCGATCAGGAATTTTAAGTGAAGCTTTTAAAACCTTTTTACTCTGAAGCTATTTTTTACGTAGGTCAGGGCATGGGGTGTGGATCTGCTAATTCAGCAGTGAGGTTCAATGCCGTGCCCACCATTACTCATGTTTGGGTCTAAGGCTGGGCTGGGTGGGAGGCAGAGGTGGCCAGGCTGCTGTCCACTCTGACCTGGCCTTTGGCCGGGCAGGGGCAGAAATGATCAATGGATCCTTCTCTCTAAAAAAAAGTATTTTTTTTTATTGATTTCAGAGAGGAAGGAAGAGAGAGAGAGAGAGAGAGAGAGAGAGAGAGAGAGAGAGAGAGAAACATCAATGATGAGAGAGAATCATTGACTGGCTGCCTCCTGCACGCTCCACACTGGGGATCAAACCTGCAACCCCAGCATGTGCCTTGACCGGGAATCAAACCGTGACCTCCTGGTTCATAGGTCGATGATCAACCACTGAGCCACGCCGGCCGGGCAATGGGGCCTTCTTGGATGCCCAGGCCAGGGTGACCTACTCACCGTCCTCCAGGGAGGGGTCTGCCCCGTCCAGGCTGGGGAGAGACCGACACTCAGGTGCTCACCTGGGCCAGTTGCTGCCCAGCCTCGGTGGACACCTGCCGCTCCTCGTCACAGTCCATCTTGTTTCCCAGGAGAAGAACTTGCACTCCAACACACCCTGCGTCCTGCACACAGAGCACATTCCCTCAGCCATACATGTTGAGCGCCTGCTGTGTGCCAGGCCCTGGGTGGATGTGGCCCTGACCTCCGGGAAGCTGGCAGCGTGCCTCCTCCCGGCACAGACACCCACCTTTCCCTGTCACCCTCACTCCACAACCTTCCCACCTGGGCAATTCCCCTCCATCTGCAGTGAGGCTGCCCCTCCTATCTGCCTGCAAACATGTCACCCATTTTCCAGGGCCAACCTCAAAGCTCCCTCCTCCAGGCAGCCTTCTTGGATTGATCCTACCCATGACCCTCTCTTCCTGCCTGTGCTCAACAGCCCAGTGCTCGCTGACACAGGGTGTCTTGGTTCTTTTCCTAATTGTTTCATGGATAATAATAATAACAGCTGTTATTTATGGAGTGCTTACTATCTGCCAGGTGCTGTGCTGAACGCGATGATGTCAGTTAACCCTCACAAGTCTACGAGAGAAGCTGGGAAAGTGAAGTTCAGAGAGGCTGTCGCTGAGTTGGGGTGGGATAGTTGGGTCCGGTCTGACCCCAGAGCCCAGCTGCCTTTGTCTCTGACCTTATCTGACTTCTTTTGCATCTCTTCAACTAGAAACTCCTAGAAAGAAGGCTACATGTCTTACTTCATATCCCTCTGTTGTGCTGGCACATACTGCAAAATTTCAGCATATATGTATGAATTAAGTACATGGGGGAAGAACTAGACATGTGTGGACAGAGGAAGTACCACCTAAAGTGGTACGAGAATTGCATCATCCCCAGGGGTTAAGGAGACATCGCAGAGCTGCTGTCTGTAAGAAAGAAATGTTCGTAGGACAGAGGAAGAAGTTTGTTTTGGAAGCTGTACTGTGTGGTTGTGGCTCCCTGATACGACGCCCAGGCCACCCAGTCACATGCCCTCCGTGGGCTGCACCACCTGCATGTCTATTGTAGCATCTGTAATCCCGGGAGGAAGGGAGCGTGGGCAGGATACACGTTCCCTCTTGACTCCAGAAACTGGGGCCAGCCTCCGCCACCACCTGCTCACCTGGAGACAGTCCAGCCAGTAGCGCACGTGGGCAAAGCTCTCCTGGGATGTGACGTCATACATGAGCACCACACCGTCAGCCTTTCGGAGCAGCTGCCGCGTCATGCTGTGGTACCTGCCCGGGGAGTCCGCGTGAGGCCAGGCCTGCTGGGCTGACCCCGGCCCCAGCCTCAGCCACTCCATCGGCAACGAGGGAGAATTAACGTTCCTGCTTCTCATTGCTTCCCACGAGGGTGATCGCATGCTGGCCTTCTTACACTGCATAGTTAACAGTTCTCATGGCTCAAATTCACAAGGTACCAAAGGGCACCCCGTGAAAGGTCTCCCACCCCCACTCTGCAGCCACCCGGTCCCCCTCCCCAGAGGCAGCCAGGGTCACCAGCTTCTTAAATATTTTCCCAGAGGCACTTTATGCATATTCATAAATGTACATGCATACACATACCTGTGCACACGCACACGCACCTGCCCTTTGCCCTTGTTAACACGGTACGGTGTAAAACACTCACATACTCATTCATATTCAGAACCCTGCCTGGTTTTTCTAGTCAAGAGAAGGCTTGGAGGTGTTTCCCTTTTGGCCCCAGTGAGGGCCCTGGGTCTTTCTGTGGCTTCACAATGTTCTATCGTGTGGACAGACCCCAGCCTGTCTCGCTGGCCACCACCCATGACGTGTGAGTTGTGTCCAGTGCTTTGCAATATAAACGCTGCTGTGAACAGCCTCGGTCCCTTTGATACCATCATGTGAGTTACCGGAAGCATGAGTCTCCAGACGTGAAACCGCTGGGCAGAGAGAAGTGCTTTAAAGTCTGATCACTGTGGCCCAACCGGCAAGTGGACAGCCAGTGTTTGCAGGATAGCGGTCGGGCGCTGGCCCTGAGGGCCGAGCTGGGGGGATCCTCACAGAAGCCGGGCCAGGCCCAGGGGCCTCTGGGTCACCCCGTCTTCTCCACTGGGCCTTTGCTCTCCTCCCCGGCCTCCTGACTCCCCCGGGGGTGATGTCTCTTTTGCACTGGGCGGCCTCTTGCCCACCTTGGCCTCCTCTGGGCGGGGCTGCCTCCACCGGCACCCAGACTCCGCGCAGGTCTCCGTGGAGACAGGGCCCTACCTCTCCTGGCCAGCCGTGTCCCAGAGCTGCAGCGCATAGTACTTGTTGTCCACCAGCAGGTTTTTGACCCGAAAATCCACTCCTAGGGCACAGAGAGGGTTAGGCCTACGCTCCAGTCACCACCCAGCACGTCTAGCCAAGGCCGGCCCAAGTACCCAACCCCGGCCCAAGTGCCCAACCCCGGCCCCAGGGGACCGGAACCTGCGGCTGCTGGGCTTCCCTCTGCTCCCCAAATCCCATCCACACTCAAGGGCCCAGGTCCCCCAGCCACGGGCTCACTGTCCCCGTAGGGAACCTTGCGTTGTGTTGACCTCTGTGAACACAGCGACGTGTGTTCCTTAGTCCACCTAGGAAAACCTGTTCATTGTTTTATTTTATAATTCTCGTTTCATATCCCAGGTACGGCCTGCATCCTCCCTTCCACCAGACAGCCAGGGGCGCGGAAGGAGCGCTGACTTCAGAGGTGACTGATGGGCTGTGAGTTGTAAGTCACTTCACCTTTCTGAGCCTCCCTCCTCATCGCACCGCACAGGGCGGCCGGGAGGAGTCAATGACTTATTCCAAGGTTTAGCCCAGTTTCTGGGGGGGAGGGGGGAGGTGCCTGAGAGGTGGTCATTGTTATCATTATTCATTCTCATCTCTCTGAACCCCAGCCCGTTGGATTTTACAGCCTCACCCCTGCCTGAGGTCATGGCCCCAGACCCTTTCTGGAAATACGGAGGTAAGTGAAATCTCGGGGAAGTTTGGAGTCTTTGGGGTACAACTTCCCGCCAACCCCTACTTCCCAAAGGAAAGCAGGTGGGCGGGGGGGGCGGATGATGGAGAGGCTTCTTTTATTTATTTATTTTTTGGTTAATCCTCACCTGATGATATTTTTTCCATTAATTTTTAGAGAGAGTGGAAGGGAAGGGGAGAGACAGAGAGAGAGAAAAACATCAATGTGAGAGAGACACATCGATTAGCTGCCTCCCGCATGCACCCCGACCAAGGCTGCAACTGAGGTACGTGCCCTTGACCAGAATCGAACAGGACCTTTCAGTCCATGGGCTGACGCTCTATCCCTGAGTCAAACCGGCTAAGGCATCAATCTGTGTTCTTCTTGATTGAATTTCCTGGAAGCCTCTTAGTACATGATAATGGGGGGAGAATCGGTCATTGGGGGGGGAGGGGCAGGACTGTTGTAAGATGCCTGGTGCATTGGAGGTGCCATTGGCTTAGGAGGTTACTAAGGGTGGCCCTGCAGGCCTGCGACCCTGCTCAACCCCAGGCCGGGCCTGCCATGGGTCCCCATTCCCCAGGACGCTGCGTCGTTAACTGGCTCCCAGGTGAGGATCCTTAAGCAGAGAAAAGCCTGAGGCCTTGTCCTGGGAACTCTCTTGGATGTGAGCTGTCATTATCCACATGGTCCCAGTCACGTGCACCCTGACAGACAAAGATCGGCTCACTCCCTCTTCGTCCCGAGTGGTCATAACGCTGGCCTTCCGTGGGCCGACACAACACCCAGTGCCATACATCCTGGTCCTAGGGCAGTGGTTCTCAACCTTCTGGCCCTTTAATACAGTTCCTCATGTTGTGACCCAACCATAAAATTATTTTCGTTGCTACTTCATAACTGTAATGTTGCTACTGTTATGAATCCTAATGTAAATATCTGATATGCAGGATGGTCTTAGGCGACCCCTGTGAAAGGGTCGTTCGACCGCCAAAGCGGTCACGACCCACAGGTTGAGAACCGCTGTTCTAGGGAGAGGAAGCTTTGTGCTTCGGGACATTTCATTGGCAGGAGCCACTGAATGAGACATCATCTAATACTTATAGTAATAACAATAACAATAATATTGATTAGCACTGTGTGCCAGGTATTATTCTAACAGCTTGATGTGTACAAATGAGCTAATCCTTACAACCACTCTAGCAAGCCAGCACTCCTGTTGTCCCCCTTGTGCAGATGAGGGTTTGGGGCCTCAAGGGGCTTAAATCATTTGTCCAAGTTCATATGGCTAGTAAGTGGCAGGACGAGATATGAGCTCAGGCACCCAGCTTCCTAGCGTATCACACCCCACAAACACATTCTATATAAAACATTCAACTTGCCCAAGGCAACTCCCCCCCAGAGCTGGGCTGGCTGGCAGGGGCTAGTCCCGACCACATCCAACCTGTGCGACCCTGCCGAGCCCTGCCTTCCCCCGCAGCCAGCCATGTGGGTGGGACTCGCTTGTTTTCACCATCAGTCAGCACTGGCACCTAAATTGCAGGGTGCTTTGTTGATGTGGCACATTATAAGCTAATCAGATCAATGCAGGAAAAGCAAATTACCTGTAATTAGAGATGATTAGTAAAATAGTAAGAGCATCCCATAAAGTCAGTCTAGAGCAGGGCCTGGGGCAGGACAGACTGCAGCTTCCCCTGGGGTGCTCGCTCCAGCCTGCTCGGGCTTGCTGGCCAGGGCCCTGGGCCTCCCCCCGCTCCCCGCCCACCCCCCCCCCCCAGGATGGGCGCTTACCCACAGTGGCTGTCAGCCCAGAGGCGAAGGTGTCCTGGTGCAGCAGGTGCAAGAAGGATGTTTTGCCCACGTTCGAGTCTCCCAGGAAGATGATGTGGTAGATGTAATCAGGGTTGGCTGGAGGCTCGCTGCCCGTGGGGCCCCCTGGGGAGGGGGTCAGCCCAGCCTCCCCGGAGCCTGTTCCTGGGTCTTCAGGCCTGTTCTCTGCCCGAGGCTCACGGGGTTGTGGGGGGCCTTGTTCTCCCTCCGCTTGAGCGGCTGTGGGTGGCGGCCTGGGTTGGGCTTCCAGCGCAGCCTCTGTGCTGGGCAGGGTGTTCGTGGGCGGCTGGGGCCCTGCCCCACCCCCAGGCTGAGCCCCCCGAGGGGGAGAGTCCCTTGGAGGGGACGGTCTTCCAGCAGGGCCTTCTGCCTCAGCCTGAGCCTGCGCTGTGTCAGGTGGGAGAGGGGCGGGCAGGGAACTTCGCTGGGGGCGTTCTGAGGGCCCGGTCCTCAGGCCCCTAGCCTCAGAGGGCTGCTCTGAACTGAGGCCTAGCCTGCCCTGGCCCCCCTGTTTCCCCTCCTCCTCCCTGGGCTCCTCCTCTAGACTCTGCTGTGGGAGGGCAGGCAGCCCACTTAGCTGGACCTGGCCAGGAGCTTCCCTTAGCCCCCCGGGACGGCCCTCCAGCACATCTGGGCCCAGCTCACCCTGCTGCGCCACTGCCTTCGTGGGAGCCTGAGCCACAGCCTCCAGACCCTGTGAGGGCTCAGCCAGGGGAGCCTCAGCCTCCAGACCCTCTGATGGCTCAGCCAGGGGAGCCTCAGCCTCCAGACCCTCTGAGGGCTCAGCCAGGGGAGCCTGACCCACACCCTCCAGACCCTCTGAGGGCTCAGTCAGGGGAGCCTGACCCACAGCCTCCAGACCCTGTGAGGACTCAGCCAGGGGAGCCTCAGTCACACCCTCCAGACCCTCTGAGGGCTCAGCCAGGGAAGCCTGACCCACACCCTCCAGACCCACTGAAGGCTCAGCCAGGGGAGCCTCAGCCTCCAGACCCTCTGGGGGCTCAGCTAGGGAAGCCTCAGTCACACCCTCCAGACCCTCTGGGGGCTCAGCCAGGGGAGCCTCAGTCACACCCTCCAGACCCTCTGGGGGCTCAGCCAGGGGAGCCTCAGTCACACCCTCCAGACCCTCTGGGGGTTCAGCCAGGGGAGCCTGACCCACACCCTCCAGACCCACTGAGGGCTCAGCCAGGGGAGCCTGACCCACACCCTCCAGACCCTCTGAGGGCTCAGCCAGGGGAGCCTCAGCCTCCAGACCGTCTGGGGGCTCTGAGGGCTCAGCCAGGGGAGGCCACAGCCTCCAGACCCCCTCCTTCATCAGCCAGGGAAGCCTCAGTCACACCCTCCAGAACT